AGCAACCATGTGAATATTAAAGTCACTTTATAATACAATTTTAATTAGACAATCAGACAAAAATCTACGATTCTAGAACCAATCTGTAACAAAATCCTAATTAGGGTATTAGACAAAAATCTATAAAATTTTAGATGCAAATTTCAACAAAGTTTTAATTAGTGAATGAGATGAAAATCTAAAATCCTAGATCCACTTGGTAATAAAATCCTAAGTAGAGTATTAGTCAAAACTCTATACTTTTAGATCCAACTTTTAACAACATCTTAACCATTAAATCAGATGCAGATCTAGAATCCTAGAGCCACTTTGTGACAAAATCTTAACCATTAAATCAGATGCAGGTCTAGAATCCTAGAGCCACTTTGTGACAAAATCTTAACCAGAGAAACAAACAAATACTTACGATTCTAGAGCCAATTTATAAGAAAATCTCGGCTAGGCGATCAACCAGAAATCTGTAATTCCAGATCGAGTAATCGACGCTAAAACTCTTCTAATAATTATCCTAAAACGAACTCTCGAACAATAATATTCCAATATTGTGTATATAGATCAGAATAATGGTAAAGGTTACATACCATACAGATGAGGAATCGCGAGCGTAAATCGATACACAATTAAGCAAATTACCCAGAGAGAATCAGTGTAACTCATACAGGACGACGTTAAATAATTTAAGGAGAATCGATATTTTTCCAGCGTGGAATAGAATAACATAAACGTCGGTATAAATCGCGGTGAACGATTTATTCGACGTTAACAGGTTGTTCTTGAGCGTGCTCTTCCTCGTGTTTCCCAGAGATGGATGAACGAAAGATCAAGAAATTCATGAACTCTGGCCAAGAAGGGCATCGGATAAGAATTATGCGCGTTATTATCGTCGATTTCCGCTGGAATAAAATTCATCTCCGTAAAAATTCTGCGAAATTATCCATGTAACGCGTTGCCAGCTACTCGTACATACTCGTTTCCGATGCATTCGTGCTGTAACGAGAGGTGCGTAAATACGCGGATGCATGAACATTTTTAAAAGTATCTTTCAACAAATAAGAAATGTGCCGGTGATTATGAAAATGGCCTAAGTCGCACGTGTTTCGTTTCAAAATACGTGATATAATTACAAATTTGCTGTTTATACGATATAATCCTAAATCTACTATCCAGCGACGTAATGAAGCAAAGAATTTCCTGCGACGAAGAAAATATCAACGGGAACGAAGGGAAGAAAGGGCACATAATTTCACGTGTTACTTAGCGGAAAAAAAGTTCGGAAAATATGTTTGGGGAATATTGAAAGAGATGAAAAACCATGTCCGTTAGGAAAAATTTCTTCATCCAGCACACTACTGACAAAATTCGATCAGCTGTAACAGATCGCCACGGTAATCAACCACTTCCGTACCGCTTCACACGAACAGAAACGCTCTTTTCAACGCTTTTTTCAATGCTAGCCCAACTCCGCGAAAAATAAGCTCGATCCGCGTTGACGGATTTCGTAGAACAATGACAACGTGACACGAAAAGCACGTTGCGTGCACGCGCGAGACACTCGTCTATTTATCGTCGGCGTAATTATCGTCGTGCCTTACCGAACAACAGGGAACAACGAGTAGTAAATCGTAACGATCCGCGACTTCCCTA